AAACCAGTATCGAGCCATTGGCTTCACTGCAGTATGATCCACCTTCCAAACCAGTATCGAGCCATTGGCTTCACTGCAGTATGATCCACCTTCCAAAACCAGTATCGAGCCATTGGCTTCACTGCAGTATGATCCACCTTCAAAACCAGTATCGAGCAATTGGCTTCACTGCAGGGTGCTGGGCTTTTGGCTACATTCAGTGCAACTAGCCACTTCCAGAAGTAGTTTCCTTGCATGCAATTCAACAAGGACTCATCCCGTTTGCCCCATTGGTAGAGGTATTCCCCCATTATCCACCATCGACTATGCATAGGTATATAGCCATAAGCAAAAGGATTCCATCTCAAAAGAACATGTATGCATAAATGTACGTAATCAGGTTGTGTCCCTGTTGAGAATGCTCCAAAAGTTTTCCTCAAACAAGTTTAAATCTCTGTGCCATTACGCTTGCTATGGGTACAATTCAAGAGGAAAATTATGCAAATCTACACAAATTCCAACGTCTTTTTGCAAATAAGTACTCAATTATTTCAAGGCACGCTCTTTACATCTCGCACATTCTTCTCTCTACAACATTATGAACTGTTAGCTGCACAAACAAGTCTAAAGTAAGGGAAAACCCTGCACATTTTTGTATGTACAAAAACAACCTTTCTTTAGACAAAAGGGCACTCCATACACATACATACATACATCAATGGATGCTCGATAACTGTATTAGCCAAAGCCGTGCTACATACAAAGCAATGAAGCTAAAAAAAGAAAAGGTAAACGGATATAAATCGCTACACAACAGTTGCCAATACACACACAATACAGACGCATACAAGAGGTGGGGGGTGCTGGTATTGTCCATACAACAGCCGTTGGCTAGTGTATATACGCGTATACACACGTCAACCACAGTGCGTGTGTTGCGTGCCAGGGAACGTTGCCAAGTCCGTACAGGCCGGTGTAACACAACCCTGCAGCAGGTCCATAGTCAGTTACAGAGAGTGAGGGGGAGAGGGACGAGGATGAATGGGGACCCACAGGGTGGGTCTGCGAGCCGACCTGCTAGCACGGCCAACTTATCCCACAGGCAACTTAGCCGCTCAATTGTGGAGCTTTGTGCAGAGTTTAGAGACAGAGCATACAGCCTGTGTTCTAGGGACACACACCCCACAATCCAATATCAACCCCCTCCAGCCCTCCAGCCTGCACAGTATCGACAGACCTCACCGCCTTACTACAGGCAGTTCTCTAGCTACGCGTGTAGAGGTGATGTTACAGTCCTGAAGCTACACATATATTTCATATAGTTTATCCTACACATACACTCTCTGGACTTAACCTACAAGGAAATGCTGGCTAGGTAATCATCATACATTATTTACAGGCTTTGCATATAGACTCACTAACTATATAGAAGCCAGTATGTCAGAGGGCCTATAAATGTGCCTAGCTGCTGAATACTCAATGTAAGGTTGGCTTTACCACACAGTTCCTGAAAAATGTGCAGCCGAATAGACGGAATAAAATCGCATGACGTTTGCTCGTAGAATGTTTGTACTATTTGTGATTGTTACCACGGGACACCGGTACATAGTTGAACAAACATAGTAACAAATGTTTTAGATGTTTTGATAACCCAAACACCTGTGCATACGGAACAACAAAACATGTAAATTCTGTATGTTAATGTCGAACCAGCCCCCTCGGGTATTAATACCAACATACGAACATGCGTCCACTTGTAAGGAGTATATAATTATGTAATAGTTACACATGTAGTCCACAAACATTAGTACATGTGTGTGTGTGTGTGTGCATTCCTGTGCACAAAAATGTACATGGAGCATATACACATACCGGCAGGCCTCACAGATGTTCACAGGTATGCAAATATCATAGTACAACACTGACCACACCATTACACTGTCTTTATATGTACAGTATGTACATTACAGGTATACAAACAAGTATATATATATAATACACTGAAGTTAGTGTATAAACAATATTACACAGACTCTATTATACACACTATAGTACTAAAGAACAACAGGGCTTCACGGCAGAGGAGACAAGTGGGGAGTTAACCATTAATGCCGAACCCTGTCAACTGCAGTTTAAACAGACTTCCGTATGTACAAACAGACACACACATACGCCGGGCAATTGAGTGGGAGAGGACAGGATGAGAGGATGAGCGTGCCAAGCATGCCACTGGCCATTCTGTCACAGATTGCCCAGATATGTAGGGCAGGTAGGAGACAGGCCTATAAATGGACAGGTTATGCGGAGGTGTTCACTCCTGACTAAAGGCACGTCTATGCGCCCTACCACAGAGACAATCGAAGTAAACAGGAGGCGGAATTTATATATTATTATTAACAAGATGGCAGCTTAATTAAAACCCTTTGGACACCATGGGGATCTGCTTAAATAAGCAGAAATTGATGTATTAGCGCCTAGTATTATAACCCCCATATAAATTCTGATGGACTTATGGAGGCTCTGGACACATTTATGTGTCCGTGGCTGGCTAAGTGTTAAGGCCTAATACATGATGCAACTTGAAATCTAATGTACTTTGGGTAAGATGGGTTAATTAATGCAACATGCTCTGTGCCATAGACGGCACATCTATCCTCATGTGCTCTGTGGACCATCACACCCATACAAAACAGCAGCCTTCACCGCAAAACTTTTTGCCAGCCACACACCAATGCTCTATAGTTGCAACAAACTGCCACCACAATCATTGTCAATGCAACGCCCACAAAATTTAAACGTAGCAACTTATTTTACATTCTGCCAAAAGGACCCTATGGGAGTAAAGGAAATTTATGAGGTAAATGGGATTAAAAGAGGTTTTTTTCCTCAGCTTTCCCACTGGTATATATATAGGCAATGGAGCATGTGCAGGTATCAGGTTGTGTTTGCACAGAAGAAACAGTTTGGGGGTAGCTTGGTGTCAGTTTACTGGAAGAATGCGCGGGTCTGTGTGCGCGAGTCAGTGTCAGTTTTGCCGGGTGAATGGACCATTAGTAGGTGTGTGACTGAGACATGTGTGTGTGTGTAGGTGATGGGGATTGTGGCATGGGGGAAGTGATGGTGGAAGTGATGGTGGAAGGGAAGGAGATCAAGACGAGAAGGAGAGGAAATAAGAAACAACACAAAAGTCGTAAATTATACAGGACAGTAAGTGTAACACGAGTAATACAGAAGTTCTATATATAATTATACAGTGACAGTAAGTATAAAAAGGCCCATAAGCAACAAAAATTTTTACTATAGAAATTTTTACTCAATTTCTAATAGGCAAATTAATTAAACGCCAACAAGTCACTCAAAACCAGACAATCTGAAATTGGGTAATTTGCAACGTATAATCCCGGGGAGGTTATGCCGAATGTAACACCAGAGTGGCAACATACAGTATCGCATGTCATGTGATCATCGCTAACCCAAACTGTACCTGTGTGTGGCAGGCATAGAACAAACAGCGCTGCATGCTCGGCAAATTTCAGTCTAAATCTTCCATGAAAGCGTTCGCCACTCGCGAGCATAATCATACTTTGATATACAGTAGCGTGGGGGAGCGTATCGGTGAATTGCGTAACCCCGGGTGAGTATTTTGCAACACTGCCGGGAAACGGTGCGACATGCGAGGGAGAGAACGTAACGCGGACCCTATACCGAGTCATTAGTGGGCAGAGCAATGGCTGCAAGGGGGAGTGGTAACACAGACCTGTATCGTAGCATGCATAACTTCCATGGTTAATTGCCGCATGAGGCATGCAGGGAGTTGGACTCAGTCATGCGATAAGTTGAGGCATAGAGACCACCTAAGATGCAGAACTGCCGTGTGTGTATGTGTGTATGTACTGTGTTACTGTGGGTGTATACTGTGGCGTATGTACTGTGGTGTATTGTGTGGTGTATTAGAGAAGTGAGGTGATTGTATATGGAGAGGGGGGGAGGGGGTGAGGGAGGGTATGGCGGAAGATATAGATGGTTGGTTGCTGTCAACAGGACACACGGGAATAGGAGGATCGACACGTGAGAGAGGGAGGGGAGAGGGGAGAGGGAGGAGGGGGGCAAGCGATGAAAGAGGGAAGGCAAGAAGTTGGGGAGGGAGGGAGGGGAATCATAAATGGGGGAGATGGTAGTGTCCAGAGTGTGCTCTTGCAGTACTGGAGCTAAAGCTAACTATTGTGTAACAAGTCAGTGGTGTAACTCTCGTGTGTGTGTGTGCGTGTGTGGCGGTAAGCCGAGAAGTCATGTGCGTTTTACATTCGTCCTGGCTGCAATAACACCAGTTTACAGCAAAAAATCTGGTAGTTCAGCACGTATTATTACATCACAAGAGTTGTTCTTCTGTAGCTATATACATTGTCAGGCAGATGAATGTAGACCGAAACCAAGATGGGAACATGAAGTAAGAACCACCACACACGCACACAGACACACACAGACACGAGCTAGCACAGCTAGAAGTAAATATCAAGTGGGTTAGAAAGAAACAAATTGGACCTCCGTTTGGTGCAAAATCTCTAAAATTCAGGACCTCCTGTCCCTCACTCCAACCAAACAAAGCTATTGGGTTTGCAGCATTTTAAAAAACACACGCATAGCTTAAGCAAAAACTAATAGCAAGCAACACTTGAATAGAACGCAACTATGTACGTACATTAGATTGATCAGCACATAAACTCTCAACAAAAGATAAACTCAAACATACACAATATCAACTTCACCAGTTTCATGCGTGCAACATATATGTACATACGTTTGAATCAAAAACCTGTCCGTGTGAATGCCGCACAGAGTAACCAATCAGTAAAACCTGGCATGGACACTGTAGTATAATACGTTTGTCATAACTACAATATTCCTACAGGTCGAGCAGAACAAACGTGATATCTACCGAACGAACTATTTTCATCCATTGCACAACCGTAAGCTAAGAGGGAAGGTAATAGGACAGTCTTTGTGGCATTATTGCCGACACTGCGGTGGCTTTCAGGGGTTAACATTGTCATTGGCACTTCCTGCTACTTAATTGGTGCTCACAATGCATCGATGTACTCTGTTCCGTGATTATGTCAAGGCCTCGGTGAATTACCTCCTCTTCGTCGCACTGATTGCGTTCATCAATCTGATTTTCCACAATTTCGAACTTCCGGTCATCCAAAATTATCGTCAAGTGCGCAATTGGCTATTAACCAGTCGGCTTTTATTTTTAAATCGCTGTCCAATAAAGATATTAACCAATAAGTGGGTGTATAAAATAGCGTTAGAAGACTTGATGTATACAAGTAGTTTTCCGACGTATAGAATCCAAACACGACCGATTGTGGAATAGGTCGATATCACTATTTCACTCCTACACCTCAGTTACATAGTAAACATGCTGTGTCCTCGTTTGTCAGCCCAAATGCAGGGGTCACCCACAATAATAGTAATTGAGTTGCGGGTCACCGGTCAACAGTTATAACCACAGTGTCCTCATTTTACTGCCCAAATGAAGGGTTCACCCCACAATAATATTAATAGAGTTACAGAGCTGTGGTCAATAAGCATTATATCCCCACCCTAGTCCCATTTTATTGCATAAATGAAGGGTTCACCCCACAAAAATAGTAATAAAGTTACACCCTGCAATCAATAAATGGTATACAGCACACTCTCCTCATTCTTAATGCCCAAATAAAGGGGTTCACCCAAAAAAAGACTCACACAATTACAATTCCACTAGTTTGTATATAACAATTTTACTTACCTCTGGGGTCCTGTTTTCCTGTCTGTTGTAGCCAGGATGACTCGGTCGCCGGCTGCACTCCATTTCATGTTCCCTGGTCTCGTAGCCGCCGTATCCCTGGGGGGAGGGGACGTGTTTCATCCCCCGCGACGAGTGATGGTGAGAGGACGGAAAAGGGGGTCGCTGGTGCTTGTTTCCAGAGCCGGAGGAGGGACGAGGGCTAGTTGGGGCATAGTCGCGGTCACGATATAATGTGCATTGTTCGAAGACTTCGTACGATACTCGAAGACTGTGTGGATTTGGATCGAGGTGTTGGTTGAATTGTTGGTTGAATTTTAGTCCGCATTTCTGACAAGCATTGGGCAGATCAGTTCTGCATTGAGTGACAATAGGGGAGGAGATAAAGGGAAAGAGAGAGAAATGGAGAGGTTGAATAAGAAGAAAATAACGATGGAACAGGGGAGGAAAGCAGCGAATAGTTATGAGGAAAAAGTGAGGCTAACAAGTGTTTGTTTGTGTATAGGTATATAAATTTCGACAAAAATGGTTAAAAGACAAGCTCTTGACCAGTGGAAAAGGCATTCAGCTACAGAAAGTGTACAAAGTGCGCACAATAAGCACGCGTTCCTACACACCGACCCGACAAGAAAAGCGTGTAGAAAACATCACTTGTCAGCTCATGTGCTCCCAATGCACAAATAAATAGTTAGCTACCTGCTTATAGAGTCGTCCTGGCGATTGTAACTGCGACAACTTTCGAAGGCGTGACGGTACTCCATGTTCCCGCTGACGCCATGCACCGACTACAAACAACAACTCGCTTGACGTCTCAGCAACACACACACAACTTTCTTTGTCCGGTCTTGCAAAGTATTTCGGCTCCTTTTCTTCGGAGTTTGTGTCGACGTGGGACGTTCGCTCGGCGAGTTCTCTAAGTAAGTTCTCTAAGATGAAGGGCCAGCCTCGCTCAAAGTCAAGTGAACGTAGAAAAAGTGGGTGTTAGTACGACAAACTGCGATATGAGAAGTCAAGGGTCGAATGGTCTTCTTTTTGGTTTATACACAGACAGGGGGACACTTGGTACACACGCTTGCGGCCAGCCACGAGGGAGGGAGAGAGTAGTATAAAGTCGGTAGTAGTCGGTGAAGCGACGAGAGGGGGTGGGAGGGAGGGAGGAGGAGGGAAAGCGGTGTTGAAGGGTCGCGGTGTGATCTCTTCGAGCTTGGTGGGAGAGCAGGGGTTGGCGATTCTTCTACCAGAGAAGAAATCGCAGAGCTAGAGAGAGGCGGACACACTAGGACTACTACTCTACAAGTATACTAAAAAGCCTAATAATTTACGATGATGATGAAGCGCATTATTGTGCACTCCCCCACGCGAGAAATCTCGATTAGGGTGTGACGTCACAGGGTTCACATTGGGGTGAAAGGTCAAGGTACAACTTGTAAGTTTCCACGCCCATTTTACGTGTGCGCAAGCGTGTATGCGTGTACTTGACCACGCCTCCTTGGGCACCGGCTTCGTAGAGAAAAAAGAACGAAGGAGAAGATAGGCTTTGCACTGCCATAAATGTCACGTATTGTATTCATTGTTCGCCCTTCGCCCTAGCATGGCATCGCCAGCAGCTCTAACTATAGAGAGTGCTAATAGTAACTCGGACCGGGCGGCTCTGGGCTCGAGTTTAGGCAGCCATCGGTCGTATGGGACTGTGAAGGAGCCTTCTTCAGCTCTGACGGCCAGCGGGAGGCTGTGTGGAGGCTATACGGAGCACACGGTGGACGAACGGGACACTCTGCAAGGACTGGCGCTAAGATACGGCGTCTCGGTGAGTTTAGGGAAGGGAGGAGTAAGGCGAGAGAGAGAGAGAGAGAGAGAAGGAAAAAGAGACGTAGAGCTATACAGGAAGATTGGTTAGTGCATGTTTGCATTGAAGGAAGTGAAACTTTCGTTATCACTGCAAGTCTTCCAACTATATGCTGCACTATACACAATGTACTATTTGAATGTTCACATCTTCCATACAGTCAAGGTGAACTTGCTGCTCTGTGCTGTTTGGCCATATTAGGTCGCCGGACAAGCTGACAAACTAACTGTTGCTTTATTAGCCTGAAAGGGGCATTAATGCTCGCGTGTACGGAGCATGTCAGCATACAAAAGTAGTGACTGTAATGTAGTAACACCCATTTCTAGTGGATGCACCGTCAGGTCTGTCTGTACTGATGGGTGTATATAGTGTACTGTGGAAACCTCTCTCACTATATACCGTGCCTTGCAAATTTATGAGTAGTTGGGGAATGATAGGGTGTAGCGTGGCATCCTGGAGCTACTTCCCCATCTTTATCCTCCTTCCTTCTTCCCCTCACTTTTCTCTATCTCTTGGTTTTCCTTCTTCTTTTAGTAATTTTACTCTCCAGCTCCTTTTGCCCAACTTCGCTTACTCCCTCCATCTCCCTTTTCTTGGCTACGTTTTAGTTGTGTTCTGTGCCCATATGTTTGAGTTGGTAATTTCTGCAATGGATAGAATCAATGGTACTGCCTCTCTTTTCCCTGTTTTGTCCCCTCCCTCTCTCCCTCCCTCTCTCTCTCCCTCCCTCCCTTATCAGGTCCACCATATCCAGAGACTAAACAACCTGTGGGACAGTGGATCAATCCACAGTAGAACGACCCTCAAGATACCCAACTCAACACTCACTCCCAGTCCCACTCTCAAATCAAAGAAACAGCAACCAATGGCATCGTCTCTTCAAGACATTCACCAAGTCAGCGACGGCAGAGGAGGAGAAGGGGAGGAAGTTAAGAGGAAACCGACAGGTCAACGAGGGGGTGGGGCTTCATACGAGCCGTTCCAGGAAAAATCGATTGCTAGCTTGTTGACGGCAGCTGATGAAAGGATCATGGCAATGCATAGGTTTAACGAGAAATTGGCTCTGAAAATGTGAGTTTTATTGCAGTGAAAAAGGACTCTCTGAAGGGACACCTCTCTATAAAGAAACACTTGGTTATATTAACTATACCTCCTACAAAGGGTCACTTCTGAACTGAGACTTTCAGGTGTCCATTTTAAGACTCTATTTGTTTTTCTTCGAGTGTTTGTGTGTGTTTGCTGCACTCTCATTATGTTTCCTTTTCCCCTGTTATCTTGTCGCTCCCGTAATAGCTACATCACTAATGCATTCCCAGTTGTACGTATGCATATCACGCTAGTGTTTATTGTTTCGTGGCTCTAGACCAGCATTCTTATGGAGAACTTGTCGTTTTAGTGTAGTTGGCTTGTTGTTTTTATGTTATGTACGATGTGTATGTTTTCTATGTATGCTGGGGAAGGTCCCGTGTTGTCACTCTTTGCCTCAATTTCCTGCCATTTTGCTGCTCCCAACTGAATGTGTGCAATAACTACATCATCACATGCACCGTATACACTGTACACAGGTATGTGCTCTCTTATACAAACTTGCTTAATGGCCCACCTTTTCTTCTCGTGAGCATTGCTATATTATTTTACGCACTCTAAAGCTGTAGTGCGGGTAGTTTGTTGGCCTGTACTTCTTCTTTTCGTTTGCTAAGAGTATGAAAGGTTTGGTCATTAAAAAGATTGTACTGCATTCTGCAGCTATAGTACCGGTATTCAGGATAGTTGGTTGCCATGTCTTTTCCTAGCATGCTTTCTAAAAGTACGAAAATGTTAGCCTGCCTTTTCCAGGGTAGTTTGTTTCAAAGTTTAGCTCACATATTTTCACAGTCACTTCTCAGTGTCATTGCACTGCACTCTCTGGCCATGGTTGAGCTGTGCTTATCCTCTCTCACTTGCTAAAAGTACGAAAGGTTTAGTCCAGTCTAAATTGCACAGAGCACTCCCCCATTTTATATTGGTTGGTCTTTTGTTTTTCAAAGCAGTTTTGTTTTTCAAAGCAGTTAGCTTAGTAAATAAGGCAGCAGTTAGCTTAGTAAGTAAGACAATATTTCTCTCCCTTCTCTCTTCCCTCTATCCTCCCACCCCTCCCTCCCTCCCTCCCCAAGGGCCCACCTGAAGCAGCCAGCAGACTCCTACAACAGACCACGAGCATCTCTCTCACCATCTGACCTCTCAATCCATTCTTCCTCCTCTCCACTCTCCTCTCTGGAGGTCATGTGAGTTACTCCTACCACATCGTGCTGCAGCCATAGACTTTTGAGGTCTTGCAGCTTTATGACCATAAAACATGCTAACAGTTTTGACTGTACCACCAAAAGTTTAGGAGAGACTAAAAAAAGACAAATTAAACACTAAGTTAAAGTATTACATGACTCATGTACAAGTTAATCTTACCTCATCGTGCACTCGGTAGCGATTTCAGGTCTTGCAGCTTTAGGGGCCTAACTACAATTTTAACTGCCACAAAGTTTAACTTCTAGATCAACGCAGACAGCCAGCCATTTTCTATTTTTAGTTCTGTTTTGTATACCTGGTGCAATTCGTCTGCAGCACATCCGTTCCTTTATTCACTGATAATGTTTCAGCATACATAATGTAGTTAGTGTTGTGGGTGCAATAACGATATGATAACTTCTCCTCTCCTTCTCTTGTTGACAGAGTGGAGAGAGGGGGTAGCAAGAAACGAAGACAGAGAGCCAAGGAGGGCTCGGAATCTCTCTCTTACTCAAGGGACATCATTGAAGATCACGTATTCGAGCTTTAGTCATTCTCTCTCCGTTTGTATATGTTTGTTTGTCTATCAAGGGCATTATAATAATGATGGAACTGCGGCTATATAATTATTCGTCTGCGTTGTCAAAACTGTCACGCATGCGCAATTTTGCAGGTGAACGAGCCCCACCTCCTATGACGTAATTATTTTGTTTGCGAGTCAACGAGAAGTGTGCATGTTGCAAAAAAACGTCGATTCGACTATATATTACCGGGAAGAGACGTGGAAGAAGGCTTTTGGACGACCTCGGATCAACCATGGTCTGCCACTACTGGCTACCGGGGCTTCTGTTGCTCTGCCAGTTGGTGGCATCAGAATCTTGTGAGTTGGGAGGTGTAGCTGTAATCGAGGCAGTAGTTACGGGGCCTTTCATATCGATCATGACAGCTGAACGGGCACGCTTAGCGGCGTGTCCTGCACGAACGAACGTCCGAAAAATCTATATTTGCGAATACGGCTACGCCTGTAGAGCTATTGCAAGTAGTTGTGGGTCAAAAAGCCATAATACATGCCAGTATTCTCTCTCCCTCTCTCAATGTTGCAGTGACAATATACTACAGGACTCCCTCTGTCGGAGGTATAGGTGGAGGTACGGTACTGAGCATCGAGGGACGAGGCTTCGCCGAAGACGTCTACGCTAGCTCCAACGTCGTCTGGTTGCAGGGAGGAGACGGGACCAAAGTCCTCTGCGACTTTATCAGGTTTATATGGCTGCAGCTTTACCTATATAGCCAGCTACCGCTTATCTACAACAGTTGTAGCTATTTGTATAGTTGTTGCAGCATTCCTTCTTCACATCTTTTTGTGTAAAGTTACTCAAAAGGCATACCAAAAATAGCTGCATATAATCGTGTAGTTTGCAGCATATGTACCTTTTGTAAACGACTTGCCTTCTTCAAGAGTATAATTATAGAGATTTTGATTCTCTCTCTCTAACTCAATTTCCCCCCTGTCTCCCTCACTCTCACTGTAGCTACACAGCCACCACCTCCCGCATTCAGTGCCGGACTAGGGCCTACCCCGGAGCCACCGAGGGAGAGGATTCCCCACCTCTCAAGATAGCCGTTGCCACCGGCTCTCAGACCCTCGTATCCACCTACACCTTCACCTACAGATGGAGATACACTTTCTCAGTGAGAGCTATATAGGGTTTGATAAGAGAGCTAGAGATGAGATAATAAGGAAAAGTCCCATGTTGGAAATGAGCATAGAGATGAGCTACAGTTTGCTGACCAAAACATTTAATTGTGCATCAAATATAAACTTCTCAATGAGCTATAAAGGTTTTGATAAGAGAGGGATGGATGGGGGATGAAGAGTGGTTCTATGTCAGAGCAGCATTCAGAGGAAAATCCTGGAACTTGGGTGGATTGAGCCCATGCCTGCTGAGTTGCCCTGGTAGCCCAGCTGGTAGAATGCTCGCCTAGACTGCAGAGTGTCATGGGTTCGAATCCAACCCAAGAAAGCTTTTTATATTCCTTGAAAAAACTGGGTGCAGTGGACTTGTTTGCTTTGCCTTTGCCTCACAGCCTCGTTGATGTTTGCATGATGAATTTTGGTATGATTCTAAGTGGGACCCACTGACTGGCATCTAACTTTATAACTGCCTCAGGTTCAGACGGTGTACCCAAGTTCAAGTCCTCCGGGCTCTCTCATAGAGCTGGCTGGTAATCTCCCTGGAACCACCTACACCTACGACAGACTATACATGGGAGACCTGCAGTGTGACCACATTAACAGCGGCACTGGGCTCGCCTACGGCCTCCGCTGGTACCAGAGCAAGCGCCACGCCAAGTGCAGGGTCGAGAACCAGATGGTGGGAGCTTACAATGCCAGCATACAGTTCAGAGACTGGGGCAATACGTACGGATCATCGTGGAACCACAGCGAAGCAATGTACCTCATGTTTGATGGGTCTCTGGGCATGTTCGAGGTTTTTCCAGGTCAGTGTAATACTTCACTGCATACATGTTTAGTGCCGTCAGTCTACTCCACTGTTTAGTCTTGTACAAACTTGCAAAATGGACCCTATAGCTGTAGTGCAGGTAGTTTGTTGGCCTGTATATACTTCTCCTTGTGTTTGCCTGTGTAATACCAGTCCACTATTTCCGCCGCATGTATTAAATGAGCGGCTCATGTCCAAAACCGAACATCGCTTTTCATCATGAAAACATGGTGCATATGAGAACATGTTGTTGTGTGCAGTAAGGTATTACATAAGCACACGTAAGTTTAAGCCGGTGGTAGTCCATAGGCTCCAAAAAAGGCATCTGATTAGCTGGTCATGAACATTGATTATCATTATCACTTGTTATTCATCACTTCTCAAGATGACTGGTACGTGACGAAAGTTGCAGACTGTCTCGCAAGCTGTCTTGGTCACATTATGTGCTAACACAGCAGACTGAACATAACTCTGTGAATAACTTTAGCATCACATTGACCATCACGTCATGCATCATCTCCCTCGCTGCATGCACAGAGCTTTGTTCTCTGTGGTCACACGCTTTAGGTGACATTCAGCAATTCGATTGGCTTCCTGAAAACTAAGACTGCTGGATCAATAGTGGTACAATTTCGAAGTGAGCAGCTTTGGAAGTGCAGTGGTGGATCTAGGATTTTGAATGGGGGGGTTCTGCTGTCCAGAACGTTTTCGACTGCGCTCGTGCGCGCACACGAGGCCGGCGACGCATGCACGCAAAACGACAAAAAGGGGGGGGTTCCGTGGAACCCAAGGAACCCCCAGGATCCATCACTGAAGTGGTATATAGAATTTGGAAGTGAGCAAATTCAGATTTGAAAAAAAATTTGCTTTGAAGTGAGCATGGCACCAAAGGACTTCCGAGTTGACCCTCTGGGTGCTCTGGGCCTCAATAAGTTTTAATATCTGCTCTTTTGTTTACTCTCCGTCCCTTCCCCAGACATCCATTCTGTCAATCCACACACTGGCAGTAGACTCGGGGGAACATTCATCACAATCAAAGGCTCAGGATTCGGTACCAGTTCCCTGGATATCGAGGTCGATGTGGACGGTGTTCCATGCCAGGTTCTCTCCCTCAATGCCACGCACATTCAGTGCTGGACAGGTCGTCCCCATGACAACGACCTTTCAATTGCTGACGATGATGGGACTTTCAGTATAACTGCTTCTGGACATAGGTTCAAAGGTGAAAGTCCTATTCCAAATTAGAGCGTACTATCTTCTACATGTATTACAGTGGACCCCCTGAAATGAGGACACCTACATAATAAGGACACCTTTTCTTTCTCAAGAATTTTATCCTGCACATACATGTCTCGATTTTGTGTCCAGATTTGAGGGGCTCGACTATTTTCAAAAAGTTCATTGCACCCTGGCTGTCAATGCAGAGCTAGGGCTAGGTTCACAATATGTCACATTGCCGCGTCGTGCAGTGCCGCATCGTGTCGTGTCGTGTTGCGCCGAAGATAGAACTACCCCTCATTGTTTCACTGTGTCTAACATTATCAACTGTACTTCCCTCTCAGGGTCTCGTGGAGTGAGTGTCAGGACCTACACCACTGGGTCCATTAGCAGTCTGGAGTCACTCCGGAGTCACTCCACTTACCCCGACAGCCCCAACTTTTACTCCGTCTACCCATCTTACACTTCCCACACCTACAACCGGTGAGGGCTAGTACACAAAGTGGACCAAGTTTTTTTTACACTTACACTTAAAATGAAAGGAGCACTAGTACAAATATGTAAAAAGACAGTGGCTGTGTGATTTTGGTGGTATTACTGCATATGTATCTGCAGCATGCAACTACAAACACCACAAATGAATTACAGAGTATGGCAGGATTTAGTTTAGTTCACTGTGCTCCTAATGTCCTTTCCCATGCCTTGCACCCATTCTAAATGCCACAGACAACACTCAGGCTAATTGCGAGCAAGCTGAGCCTACCTGAATTGCGTGATTGTTCTGTCCAACACTGTCACACTCGACAATGCTCATGCACAAACGTCACGTACATACAACAGTGCTCTGCTCACATTTGCTCACCAAAGCATTATGCTGCATTGCACTACACCCTCTGAAGGAGAAACTACTATGGCGAGAGACTGGAGGCTTTCTTTAACCCCCAAGCCACTGGAGACCACTCATTCTTTGTGGCTGCTGACAGGCTGGCTGAGATGCAGTTTACCAGTGGATCCAACATCAACAACCTTGGCCCGTAAGTTGGTCCATTCATCGTGAGCAGTGGTATATTTGATCCTTGTTGAACTGCCTTTTCCATGGAACATTCAACCTCTTAGTGTGCATTAAGGGTCATGCTACACTATGATACTTAGTTCTTGTGTGAGACTAACTTGCATGCAACTGTATATAAGTGTATGGGTACGATGCGCCAATGAAACATATTGTATGCAATCCAACTTTGTTTCATTGTCTATCATACCCTTAGACCGCAGTCACGCGCAATTGACCAATCAGATTACAGAATTGCGGGGGGTTTATTTTTCATAGACACCTCGTTTCAGGTGTCTAATGGCGTTGCAGGTGGTCTACAGCAAACTCCCCGTACAAAATGGCTATTCTCAAAAGTCGTTATCTGCGCAAACCGGCCGATTCCGCGTTCGGTATATGTAAGCGTAGAACTTAGAAGGCGCGACTGGCAAAGTAGCTCTTTTAAAATGCGTGGTGCACCTGCAAGAAGTCTGTGGACAGTCTCCGGAGCTCGCGAAAGTCAGAAATCACGTCAATATTCCACGAAAAAAGCGTCGGCTTCTTCAGCTCTGGCGATACACAACACACATTGGGCCGTTGCCGTGCGTTTGCTAACCCTTTCACAAACGCGCACCACCAATGAGGCGTTTATGATGACGTCAACGATTTTTGACGGGGGGCGGGGGCTGTCTCCTCGGAGTCTCACACGTACAAAAAGAGCTTGTTCGATACGAAGGTAAGGAATGAGGAATGAGCGCAGCGTTGCTAGCTTTTTGCTACCCATTTGAACGCGCAAACACCAATCAGATACTCCGGTCTAAACCGGTTAGACGCGGAAGCTCGGTTGTCTACGCAACATTCCAACCCTCGGGGCATGTGGGTAGCGCCCTCGCTGCGCTCGGGACGCCAACATTCCACAGCCCCTCGGGTTGCAATGTAGCGTAGACACCTCGCTTCCGCGTCTAACCTATATATATTTGAAGTTGCATGAACATTTCACAAATTATACTCAGATAGAAAGGAAAAAATAGAGTAGAGAAAGAAACCCAGGACTGTAATAGGATTGACTTTTTCTCATGCAATAAAGTAACATCGTATGTCATGGCCATAGAGAACAACTTTGTAATTTTAATGATGCATATACACCAGCAAGTCCTTTAGTCTCACTGGATGATCGTATTATTATACAGGCCAGTGGCCAGTACTAACTATGCTAGTGGGTGGATGAACTACTACAGTCAGAGTGAAAACCAGCGCTCAGAGAAGATGATGCTGGAGGAAGGACACGACTACCTTCTTGTCAGCGAGTTTGCTGATAATAGTGGGCACGACTACATCAATGTAAGAGTTAGCTCTTCAGGAAACACTTTGGTTGTACCAAACCTCCCTTCTTCACTTTCCTCTTCTTTCTCTCTCTGTTGGTTTCTCCTTTGGCTACACGGTTCAGTTATTGTTCCCTTTGTTCCTCTCTTCCTTTATCCAGTGTTGGTATGGTATAATTATAAACCTCGTAAACAAGGGTAATAAAAAGCAAAAGGTATAATTATAAACCTCGTAAACAAGGGTAATAAAAAGCTAGAAATGGTCTAAAAGACACCATCTGTTTAGATTTGCAAATGCACTTAGTATCTCTCCTTTAACACTGTTATACTTCCCCCTCTCTCTCCTCCAGGTGGCTGTGCTGATGCATGAGACTCCATACACCTACTCCCAAACCCAGCAGTCCAACAGAGAGCGTCAGCTCATCTCTCTCTCCACCACAGTCCGCTACGAGACACAGTCTCTCCGCGTCGTCCTCAATGCCAGCCAACTGCTGCCAGCTGAGAGTGGGAGTGAGGAAGAGGAACACGGTGTCCTGCTGGGTTGGGGTGGCGATAAGAGAGCCTTGGTGACTGCAGCTGATCTTCTCAATAATCCAAGTTAGTGTATAATCATAGACGGTTCAAACATGTTGAGGGCTGAGTGGACCACAATGTCCATGGTATATACACATTAGCCCCAAAGCTCACAAGCTTCCACCGCCTGTGTACTGTAGTATATGCTTGGGTGACAGACACAGCTGTAGAGTTTTGTCTGCTGCTCTTTCTGATACTATCACACCATTTCTCTTTTTCTTCTGCTCCATGATTTCTTAAAAAGCAGATTCAATCCTCTTGCTGTTTCAACCATGTGACTCAGTCTCTACTGAATGTTCCAATTAGTCATCTCTCACTGTCTTCCCCTCTCCAGATGACACAGTGGCCTCGGCTCTCCTATCTCTCTTCTGGGCCGAGTGTTCATATCTCACAGAGTCCAGTATATTCCACATCAAAAACTGGAACGACGCAGTCTACGGGTTCGAGGACGAGACTCATGCCAGTGACGACGACGTTGCGCTGTGGCAGGGATGGGATGGGGACGCCCCAGCAGTGGTACGGAACCAGTCCCTATGTGGAAGGAGCTCTCTCTACCTCAGAGAAGGACGGAGTCTAGTGTTCAACTTGCCAGAAGATAGTAATTTAGCGTAAGTCATTTTCCGCTAATCTCAAGGCATTCTAAAAGTTCATAATCCCACTTTGCCTGACATGGACATTCCAAATTTTTTTAAGTTTCATTTTTAAACCTCTTCAACTTGTATTTTCTTCCTTTCCTTTGCACTCAATAGTGCACCATTTTCAACTGTACTTCTTACTGTACATACACAGTATTGAACTGGAGGACTACCCATACTACATGTGTATGGGCTACAAGCTGCCACCTGGCTACGCGTTCTCCCTCATGTTTCGACTGAGTGGGTTCGGTTACTGGCTGTCTGCCTACTTCAATCGCGACATCACAGGCATCTCTTCGGTTAGCTTGGGCGAGATTTCAACCTGACAGCAATGCAGACATGATCAAGATGTGATCAGTAAGTTGTAACCTTTTAAACGTGTGTCCCATCTTAGTCATTGTTTTTAGTATAATAGCACTGCTTTTCTCTCTACTCTATGTGAGATTTCGTCTCTCTCTCTCTTTCTCCATCCAGGTGGCACTATCACCTGCATCGACCTACAGGCCATCATAGCCAATGGGTTTCTCCCCACCAGACAGCTACGAGTACCAATGGTGTCCACATCCTGGATGGGTTCGGGTGTCTACGCAGACGAGATCCTGCGTCACGAGGGTTCTACGTGGACGAATTCTCATTCGCACACCTTTGCAAGAACACTGGACATTGAGGTAGTGACACTCGATATGGAGGGTGCTGCACATTAAAGGTCAATTCACTCTTGCTCTTAATGTTTTTTCTCCTGTAGACTTATGTTTCCTCCCTCATCTGCTAATGGAATAATTCTTGAGAACATCACTGCCACCATGAGAGTGCTGCCCTTGGCACACGTGTGTGGTTGCTGTGACGGTAACTGGAGTTTATCCCCTCGATTGTGGCTACGACATTCACTCCATTCTCTGCCGAGTTGACCAATGAGCTTCAACGGATTTCTGCCCGTGCCTTCGCCTCGCCCGGCACCCCCCTCCGTGCCTTTTTCAACTGTGCTCAGGCCCCATGTCGTGAT